TGTTAGTCATTCTATTATAAATATGTATTTTCGGTCATTCTTCTATAAATACGTATTCTTGGTCATTCTACTATAAATATGTATTTTCGGTCATTCTTCTATAAATACGTATTCTTGGTCATTCTACTATAAATATGTATTTTCGGTCATTCTTCTATAAATACGTATTCTTGGTCATTCTACTATAAATATGTATTTTCGGTCATTCTTCTATAAATACGTATTCTTGGTCATTCTTCTACAAATACGTATTGTTGGTCATTCTTCTATAAATACGTATTGTTGGTCATTCTACTATAAATATGTATTTTCGGTCATTCTTCTATAAATACGTATTGTTGGTCATTTTACTATAAATACGTATTGTTGGTCATTCTTCTATAAATACGTATTGTTGGTCATTCTTCTATAAATACGTATTGTTGGTCATTCTACTATAAATATGTATTTTCGGTCATTCTTCTATAAATACGTATTGTTGGTCATTCTACTATAAATACGTATTGTTGGTCATTCTACTATAAATATGTATTTTCGGTCATTCTTCTATAAATACGTATTGTTGGTATCTTTCCTATGAAAATGCATTTTTATACTTTCAGTGTTTTTGTTTTGTTTTGTTTGGAGTGTTCACTATTTGACCATAGATGGGGACCTAACTGGTGCTACCACTTCGGTTCAGGCAACAATTAAGATCTTATTCTACTCTCCTCAAAACCCCCAATCTCCTGATAAGAGGCCTTGTTGCCGAATGTAGCTTATCGTCATAACCAGGATTAGCAATTAAGAGGTGATTCCACACTCCTCGAAACTTCCAATTTCCAGATCAGAGGCCTCGTTGCAGGATGTACTTTATCGTCATAACCAGGACTAAAGAAGAAGAAGAAGAAGAAGAAGAACAAAAACAGAAAAAATCTTCACTGGTGATTCTGCGTATGGAAGGAAAAGACTCGGTCTTTTCTTCAACCAGTTTTTTTTTTGTCAGTCCTCTAAGCTGCCCTCCCATTTTTATATGCAATAATGTATATGCATAGTTGATATATATTTTAATAATCTTAGATTTCCGAGAGAGAGAGAGAAAAAAAAAGAGTAAAGTAACCAAGCCGGAGTTAATTCCCGTGAAGTTTGTCTGTCCTGTTTTTCCAAAAATAAAATTGCTGAAAACATTTCTGAGAAATTCTATAACCAGTGACAGACTAACGTTTCACAGCTAGCAACCGAAAGTTCCCGAGCTGAGAGAATCAACGCCTCAGAATGTTTTATGGACAAATTTCATAGTCGCCATAGTAACCACAGGATTAAACTGCATTAAATCCTTGGATATTATTTTGTGAACAACTTAGTCATTAATACTACTGCCATTACTTTTAGGGAAAACCGACTTGGTTTTATTTTATTTCATTTGCATCAGAACAAAGTATTATAACGATATTTTACAGCTGATGTTTGATTCCCCCAAAAAATAATTTTTGAAAGTTGTGTTAATCAGCAAGGGGAAGCATAAAATAAAGAAATACTACATTCGCCCCATATTTACTTTGAGAATTGCTTCTGTTTCAAATATAAACATATTAAAATCCTCCCGTCTAAATACTTCCTCGATATTCTGATTGCTAGAAAAGTCATAGACAATCGTCAATATATAATTGTCATTTGTAATTAAAATAATTTCTCTCTCTGACATTCTCTGTCCCTCTCGTTTTTCTCTCTCTGTTTCTTTCTGGATATATATATATATATATATATATATATATATATATATATATATATATATATATATATATATATATATATATATATATATATTATATATATATATTATATATATATATATATATTTATATATATTCATATATATATATATATATATATATATATATATATATATATATATATATAGTCATATATATATATATTCATTATATATATATATATATATTCATATATATATTCATATTTATATATATATCATATATATATATACAGTGGGTCCTCAAAAGTATTTAACACATTGATTTTTCTTACATATCTCAAAAAATAACAGATCAATTTCAACGAAACTTATAGGAAATATTTAAACGAACATTGTCGATCAAAACATAGAAGGAAAATTTAAAACCACTGTTTTGAGAAACATTTATTAACACTAAATAAAATAACCCATATGCAAAAGTATTTAACACCAATGCAAATATTATGCTAGAAGAGACGTGTCGTCATGATTCCTACCCATATTGATATGATGTGATATGTCGACCAATGACAGCACTGCACGACACTCAACTGGCTATTAGATAAGAGCTCTGAGACACTGCAGCTATTCTGTTGTCACTACTGCAAGAAAATGGTGAAGACAAAGGAATTGTCGAACGACATGCGCAAGAAGATCATAAAGAATCACTAAGATGGTAAGGGATATAGAAAAATCGCTCAAGATTTGAATTTGCTTGTGAGTACAGTTGGTGCTGTTGTTCGAAAATGGAAAAAATTCGATACTATTGAAAACATCCAAAGGAGTGGTCGTCCCCGTATCTTAAATGAGGCTAATGAGCGATACATTTCCCGTACTGTGAAGAAAAATCCATTTTCAACTCGTCGAAAAAATTCAGAATGAATTAAAAAATGCCGGAATTGAAGTTAGTAAAGATACAATTAAAAGATCACTGAATCGTGCAGGTCTCACTTCAAGATCACCGAGAAAGACTCCATTAATGAAACGCTGACATGTACAAGCCCGTTTGAATTTTGTAGAGAAATATGAAATTGAATCTAATGATTTGTGGGAGAAAGTAATTTGGTCAGACGAAACGAAAATGGAGCTTTACGGACGAAACATGCGCACTCATATATGGAGGAAAAAAGGAACGGAATACGAGCCAGCAAATACCATCCCTACAGTCAAACATGGGGGGTGGAAATATTATGATGTGGGGTTATTTTTCTTCAAATGGAGTAGGAAAAATGAAAATCATCGAAGGAACAATGAATGCTGCAAAATACACACAAATTTTGTCAACTCAACTCTTGAAGAGTACCACATCTTTGGGACATGGTCGTGATTTTGTATTTCAGCAAGACAATGACCCGAAGCATACTGCTAAAACAACTAAGAATTGGTTTAATAATAATGACATTAATGTCCTGTAATGGCCAAGACAGTCACCGGATACGAAGTTACGAGTTCAGAAAAGAAATCCCTATAATTTAAACTAATTGAAGAAAATTTGTGAAGAGAGTGGGTCAATATACCAACAAGTACCTGCAAGAAACTAGTTGAAGACTGCGGGAAACGACTGGTGGCTGTGAAGCAAAACAGAGGCTACTGTACTAAATATTACTAAAGTGTATTAAATACTTTTCCATATGGGTTATTTTATTTATTGTTAATAAATGTTTCTCAAAACAGTGGTTTTAAATTTTCCTTCTATGTTTTGATCGACAATGTTCGTTTAAATATTTCCTATAAGTTTCGTTGAAATTGATCTGTTATTTTTTGAGATATGTAAGGAAAACCAATGTGTTAAATACTTTTTGCTACCCACTGTATATTCGTATATATATATATATATATATATATATATATATATATATATATATATATATATATATATATATATTATATATATATATATTATATATACATATATTCACATACATATATATATTCATATATATATCTATATATTCATATACATATATATTCACATACATATATATATTCATATATATATATATTCATCTATATATATTTATCTATATTCATATATATATATATATATATATATATATATTCATCTATCTATCTATCTATCTATCTATCTATCTATCTATATATATATATATATATATATATATATAAAGGTGTTCCAATAAGGTATTGGTTAGTTGGCTCTTCTTGGCAACCGGATTCAAAATCCTAGATGTTGTTTTATTCTCGAATCTAAACGTTGGGACGTCGTCCCTATGTAGTCGAGTCCACAACTACACTTATATTGATAAATCACTGAATTAACATGATGCTGAGGGAGGACGTCCTTACGAATAAAGAGAAAACAGGACGGGTAACAAATATTACCCTAGCATTCGCCGAAAAATAAAAGCTATTGATCATACGTGAAATTCGTCTAGATAAAACCTCACCCTCTGTACCAATATAGGAAAGACGCAGATAAACTAGGCATTTATCAACAAAATGCGGCTTAACCCTATGAAATTTACTAATGACGTGTTGAATAACGTTTGAGTCTAAAACATCCAAAGGATATCCGTTTTTAAAAAGTGTCATTCTAACAAACCCAATTTCACTGCAGGGAAGGCCATCAGAACATAACTTAAGTGTCCTATGAATTAAGGCCTTAATCAAATTTATATATCGTTAACCCTTATATATATATTTATTAAAGACATTTTTATGTTTAACGCTCTTTTTTATAGATACAAGTATTTAAGTAAATGCTCTGTTTATAATAAACAGTATTAAATAACATTTACCGGTCTGGATGTCCGAGAAATTTTCATAGAAAATATTCGTCCTTTGACAGGATTCGAACCTGCATCCTATACGGAACCGTCATTTACGCTGACGTGCCTTAACCGACTCGGCCACAAAGGAGCGTTCGGCAGGCAAGGTCGAATTTACTGCTTATAAACTTCAATCTTCCATGAATCTCGTACATTCATAACTGCTCTGGCGTATCAAATGTAAACAAATGACGTCATATATTAAGAAAGGGACAAAATCCGACAATTTATTTATTAAAGACATTTTTATGTTTAACGTTCTTTTTATAGATACAAGTATAAAAAAGAACGTTAAACATAAAAAATGTCTTTAATAAATAAATTGTCGGACTTTTTCATTTCTTAATATATATATATATATATATATATATATATATATATATATATATATATATATTTTAATTAAAAACAGACATCCTTAGGGGTCCATTGGTTATATTTTATTTCCCTCGGAAAGAGATTTTGTCCTGATTCCTAAGATCACATTTCCAAGAATAAAAGAAAATGGTTTAAAAATTTACATATTATTATTTTATCTATCTATCTATCTATCTATCTATCTATCTATCTATCTATACATTATTTTTATAGATACAAATATTTTCTATGAAATTTCTCGTACATTCAGACCGGTAAATATATTCATGAATTTTTTCACAGATATTTTCAAAAATGCCGTTTCCTTTCATATCGTAAGCGATCACGGCTCTCCACGTGTTCTTTTTCTTTATTTATGAATTTCCATGAATACTTGTGTGAAAATAGCAGTGTTGTGTTCCGTTGCTTTCTCAATTTTGAATTCAGAGTAGTCTTTCGCTTAGACTTGTTGCTACCCAAAGCTAGATGCCCGAAACTACCTTGCTATTTAACCCATAGCTAAGGGAAGAAAAGATGGATTCATGATCTTTCCCAATTAAATTTGCGCAAATAAGTAACTGAAATAAATTATATTTCATTTTGGACGCTATTTTTCGTTCAGTTTTTCATGTATGTTTATTTCAGATCCAAAGGACTGTTTAGAATATGAGGCCAGGTGCAGAAATAAAAGGGAAATGTAAAAGAATTAATTCAGTGTTTGTTATGCAGAAATAGTTTAAAATCGTTAAAATCAACACTACCCATTTTCAACCATTTTCTCAAGAAAAACGTTAGCAATTCTCAGATATTTCAAAAGAGTTTCAAATATTGAAGCCGATTTCTTGCACCGCGAAAAACCAGAATTGTGTTTATTATTGTCTCATCAAAATTCCACACACTGAGGTCACAAACCAAATACAGTAAAAATAAAAAATAAAACAGCAACGTTCACTAGGACTAAAAGAATCTAAAACAAACAATTTAAAAAAAAAAGTATCCTAAAAGACGGCAAACCCAACTCGACGACGATTTGTTGCTCTCGCTAAATAACAATCATTCTCAAACTGCCCCAGAAAATAAAGTAGGCAGTATCTATATATAAAATGACTTTCGTTAATCCGTTTTTCTGTCCGTCTTCTTTTATGTGCCGTGTCTCTTCGGGACGTATGAATCATGGCCCTCCACATCTTTCTGTCCCTTATAGCTCTTAATAAGTTTTGTGTTTTCATTATTTCTCCCAAACCCTGTTCTACCATTCATTTTCTCATGCTCAACAAGTATGCTACACACTGCTTTCCACTGTCCTTCTTTCCACCAGTCTGTCCTGGGAGTATTAGATTTTCCAAGCCCTCCTTCCTCATTACGTTCCCCAGAAATTTCAACTGCCTCTTCCTGATGTTAAGTATAAGTTTTCTTTTTGTTTTCATTTTCTCCAAAATCTCGTTGCTGCTCGCATATCCAGTCCATGGTATCCTCAGCATCCTTCTGTAGAACCACATTTCTGTTGCTTCATGTCTAGGCTTCATTTTTGAGGAAATTGTCCAACATTCGCTGCCATACCGGAGGACAGATATCACGTAACACTACAGTAATCTTTTCTTTGTTTCTAGTCTCTTTATCTTTGAGGAAATTGTCCAGCATTCGCTGCCATACAGAAGGACAGATACCACATTAGAGTTCAGTACTAACGAAACTTTTCTGTCTCGTAATACTCTGCTTAATATTTGGAATTCATCCTTGGCCATTCCATCACGTCTTCGGATCTCAGTGTCGCACCTTCCGTCCTCTGTCAGAACGCTTCGGCGATATTTAAATTTCTGTACTTTTTGATTTTAGTATCTCCGATTTTATTTTGGACTCATCTTTTTGCTGATAACTATACATTCTGTATTCTTGTACAGCGTAACCCGGATATAAGAGAGTTGTCGGGACCGGAGAAGAAATCTCTGATATCCGGGTTTCTCTTTTATCCGGGTCTCTTATATCCGGGTTACACTGTAGTTTACGTATATTTACCTAAACACGGCCTATTTACTTGATGAAATCTTTGACCAAATGTAAAGGAAATACGGCTAGAATATTCTATTCGACGCTATAGTGTTGGATTTTAATTTCAAGGTCTCCCTCCCAATAAACATGGCGATGGGGTAAGCTATCCGTAAGTTTTATTTTCCATTTTTTGGGGGGTTATTCGAAACCAAATTTTAAGGAGAAAAGTAAACAGGTAAGGGTGTACAAAGTACTATTGGTTTTAATATGGTACGTATCTTAGTATAATAAATTTTTCATTAATTGTTTTGGAAAAAATTAAAAGTTTTATTCAACATACAAAATACTCCCACTATTTTAAAAACAATTTAACGATTAAAATAACAAATACTTATTTAATAAAAATGCAATATTGTTTTTTTTGTTTTTTTTCGCGTATCTTTTCTTTAATTTTTATATATACAAGATCCCAGATTCCAGTTGACCCTGCATTTCCGAGAACTATAAGCAAATCACATGGCCAAACACTTCAAAAAGTTGGAATTTGTCTCCAGAAAAAAAATATTTACGCATGGCCAGTTGTATGTTGCGTGACCAAGAGTAAAAAATCCAAAGAATTTAGTCTTCGCTTTTAAAAAGGAAAAAGAAAAAAAAAATTCTTAAAAAATATTGTTTACCATGAAGCTCTATAAAATTTAATTAAATTAAAGAAATTATTAAATAACAGAGTAAAATTTTTGTCAAAGCATTTTTCCAAACAAATCAGCTTATTCAAATTTCATCGATTGGTTTTCGAAATTGAACGAAACGTAGAGTTTGTAAATCTTGACAAAAATGTTAGCAATAACTTCAACAATACTAAATACTATTAGATGTTCAACACGCGATCACATGTTGCAAAAAATCTTAATTCTGAAAATTTCCAGTCTTCTTGGGCACATTGATATAGTGCAATGGCTAGCGAGCTTACCTTGCTAGATCCATTACGTCTGAATATTGAGTTCGATCCTCATGTGTACCCCATACTTTCGGCTTTATATTACGCTTAGACAAACTACCTTACTAACTTGTCTATGGGAATTGCCTCTTTCCGACTGGCGGCAGTGGTCGGAGTTCGAGTCTGGGTAAACGAACAAAAAAGCAGTTTGAAGGTTAATAGATTTTGGTGTTCTTTCTATTTTTTTTTTTTTTAATCATTTACCCCATGTAAGGCAATAAAGCTACTAAGACACAAGGAGTTACTGAGTGTGAATGAATAAGAAAAAAATAGAAAACATTATTAAGGAACGAGAACAAAAGAAGAGTAATCAGGAAGACAGTAGATATCGATTGACATTGCATTGAAATGTTCAAAGATCAAAGTTGGCTGGAAAGCATGTAGTCGGAAGAGAATTCCACCAGGGAGAAGTGCGAGAAAAGAAACTCTTAGCATATGATTTACGGTTACAACTGACCAATTCAACTGTAACTTGGTGAGACCTTGTTGCTAATCTAGAAGTGCGCTTAAATTCATAAGGACTAGATATGATAGCGAAGAGCACATCTGAACAATTACCATGAAATTATTTAGAGAAAAGACATAGGGGAGTAACTTTACAGTGATTGGAAAGTGTCTGAAGCCGAGATGCCAGGTCAGGACGAATAATATTGCTGATATTTCTTTGGATGTTATCAAAAATCTCTAAACATATAGCAGGAGCACCGATTTTAGAGGTCTTTTTTTTTCAATTTAAAAATTGGAACGAAACAATTATTACCATAACCTCTTTTCTTGTGCCGTCCTAAAATTGTTCTTCTTTAACTTTAAAAAAAAAATTAAAGTTCAACCAATACCATGCTCGAAAGCCACTCAAGGTAGAGATTTATAGAATGAGGCGTTGGATATCAATGTAAGAGAAGTTAGTAGGAAGTGAAGATTATGAAGATAGATAACGATTTATCCTTGAATTGAAGTAGTTAAATCTTGACTACCGTTTACCGGGTACACGGTCCTGGCGGTCGACAATGAATAGAATAAAACAGTTGATTAAATAAAATAATCCCAACTAAAATAGTGATGCAATCTCATCACAATATTTTGACAAGTAGCCCTCAGGCCCTATTGAACAATCGGATCAGCATAAATGAACTAACCTTGTTACTGTATCCATCGTTAATTGTAATTAGGTTGAATATTAATTGCCTATCAAGGGTGGACCTAACGCAATAATAAGCAAAGTTACTTTATTCAAATTATTAGTTGTTATTCTTACGTTTTCTTTGAATTCAATCCTCGCCATTGTAATTATCGACATAGGACGTGTGTTCATCAATTCTACCGTTGAATAAAACTTTTATTCAACTATCCAACTCTTCAACTAATCTAAAATATTAACTTATCCGAACAGCTTTTTTTCAACAACTTTCCGAAGAAGTCCGGATAATGCAATCTCGTCATAATATTTTGACAAGTAACCCTCAGGCATTATTGAACAAGTGGACCACCATAATTGAACTATTCTTCCAGATGTATCCAGCGTTAATTGTAATTAGGTTGAATATTAATTGTTTACTGAAGGCGGATCAAACACAATTATAGGCGGGGTTATCTTAATTGAAATTATTAGTTGTTATTCTTAGATTTTCTCTCAATTCAATCTTCGCTACCGTAATTACTAGCACTTGTTTATCAATTCCATTTAGTCAATTGTTTTATTCAAATCATCGTCTTCCTCCAGGACTGACAGTTGGTCGATTCGTTTCCTCCCGTTTATCAACCCTTTGCAGGTTATTTAAAGCCTGGAAATATGTCTGCATTGAGAGATTTAAAAACAATAAAGGAGTAATGGTTAACGGCTCGGATTGAGGAACCGAAGAGCCGAGTTCGAATTCCAGTCGAATCCATTATATTCACTTATGTGCTGATACCCTTGGGAAAGGTATGAATCCTCTTCATCCTCTTCTGCTATTTACCCATGTGGGTAAATAGCAGGATAGACCGGGTTCTACAGCTTTTGATGGCAACTGGTCGACCGGGAAAATCTGGCAGTCATGTATCGAAAGATACATGATCGCCTAAACGTGTATCACACATGGCACATAACTGACTGATACTAATTAACCCATAGCTAGGGTTGAAGGGAGAGAAAAATGGATTCATACGTTTCCTAAGGTTATTTTCATATAAGTGAATATAACGAACCTAACAAGAATTGGGTTCTTTATATTCTTCGATTAAAAATCCCGAGACATTATCCAGCAGCTGGTATTCCGAAGCGGTCAACCATCTAGATACTGACCAGGCTCAACATTGCTTAACTTCAGTGATCATACGAGAACAGATGTCTCAGCGTAATATAGCCGTGAACCCATAATTTAATATAAGGCTTCAAGTATGCGTTTCCCAGCGAGAATCGAACTCACTAATCATTAGTAATAATGCTTCAACGTAAGTTTTCCAGGATCGTGTGCCTGGTAAGCGATAGTCAAACCGAGGTAAATATTGTAGCGTTCAAAAAGTATCCACGCGGGAGCCTGACCCACACAGTAACAATTCTCGGGGACCTTCTTCATTACAATTGGAATACGGAGGAAATGCGGATGATTCGACTCGGTGGACGTGGCATGGCGAAATAATAACTGTAAACGGCTGAACTAATGGAACTAAAGAATTGACCTCCTCGGAACATTTGCCATGGGAGTAACATTAAAGTGGCGACAGACTTTTGACTTTGTGTCTGTGTGGAAAAAGGCTACAGTGTGGAAGATAAGTCATCACCCACAAAACCGCGTAAACGATTTAAAACTTCCCGGCGTTTTATTTACCTCGAAGAAACGATGGACTCTTTACCGTCCTTCTTTGTTCATTCTTTTCTATCCATTCGTACAACCTTATTAGATAGGTTAATCGCTGTTTTCCTCTTCTCATTCCTTCAATATGTCCTGGAGAGGGGGCGGTTAAATTTTCCAAGGGCTCTTTCCCCATAATATGCTCCAGAAATGTCTGATTTTAAATATAATTGTTGTTATTCATTTATTGGTTCGCTTTTTACGGTTTATCAACCCTTTGCAAGTTATTTAAAGCTAGAAGATATTCTTTTTAGATCGTAAGAATTTTGTTTTGGGGCTAATAATTGTTTAGTGATGCAAGTCATACTAATTAAGCCATAGCTTGTGGGAGAAGTGATGGTTTCATACCTTTCCCAAGGATATTTAATAAGTGAAAAAAAAAGAAACCCGACTGGAATTGAAACTTGGCTATCCGATTAACAATTCCAATCCATTATCCATTGCACCACCCACACATCCAAGCTTACAGCACCTGGTATTCCCAAGCGGTCACTCTTCAAGGTACTGACCAGTCTCGACGTTGCTTAACTTTGGTGATCGTACGGGACCAAGCTTACAGCACCTGGTATTCCCAAGCGGTCACTCTTCTAGGTACTGACCAGTCTCAACGTTGCTTAACTTTGGTGATCGTTACGGGACCAAGCTTACAGCACCTGGTATTCCTAAGCGATCACCCTTCTAGGTAATGACCAGGCTCGACGTTGCTTAACTTTGGTGAATCGTACGGGAACCGGTGTTTCAACGCGACGTGTTCGTAAACCAAGTGTAAGTGTCTTAGATTGCATTCTCTTTAAAACTTCATCGTAGCTCACATGTTCAGCCCATGATATTCTCATCATCCTTCTGTAGAACCATATCTCTTCAAGTCTCTTCTTCCTCTGTGCAGAAATTGTCCAGCGTTCTTGGCCGTGTTGGCGGATAGATAGGGCAAGATGAAACGATTAAAAACAAAATCAAGAACAGAGAAAAAAAATGAGCAGAGGGTGTGATGGTGGTGTAATGATTAGCGTCTTGGAGAGAGAAATCAGCGAGACGAGTTCGTATTCCGGTCCTTTCGGGTTCGTTATATTCACTTAGGCGCAAATATCCTTGGGTAAGGTATGAATGCACCTTTTCCCCCAGCTATGGGCTAAATAGTAAGACTTGTATCACTAAACTGTTATTATCTAAAAAAATCCTACAATCTAAAAATATTGTCTTGCTTTAAATAACATATATGTTGAAAAAATGATGATGTCATGAAGATAATAATAATAATAATAATAATAATAATAATAATAATAATAATTACCGAGAAATTGTCCAAATACAAGGACCTGGAGATCGAGATTAACAGGATGTGGTGAATGAAGACTGAGACTGTACCAAAAGTAATCGGAGCTCTGGGCCTCGGGAGAAAACGAATGGACAATTTTACTAACAGTGTCCCACGTAACATCAAAATACAAGTTGCCCAGAAGATCGCCTTACTAGGAACATCTGATATACTAAGAAAAGGGCTATCCATTAAATGACAATTCTCCTATAGGACCTAAGGACCATAGTTTGGACCCGGCTCTACCAGATATAAAGCAGGAAACGTACACAAATAATAATAATAATAATAATAATAATAATAGTTGGAGCCCTAGGACTGGTTGGAAAAGATTGAAGTAGACTAATTGAAGGGATTCCTGGAAGTCCATGCCTCAAGGAGATACAAAAAATTGTTCTGACAAGTACAGCCCACACCTTACGAAGGGCTTTATCTATGTAATTTAATTTTTTTTTTTTTTTGTCAGTGGAAAGTGTCATGACGCCATTTCTAACCTTAGGTCCCTGGGCGGGACCCGGAAAGAAATGTGTAAACGCCAGAAATCAAAGAAAATAAAAATAATAATAATAATAATATAAAATATTAAAGAAGAAAAAAGAATGAAATATTAAAAAACAAAACAAAAAAATTGTTATATATGCAAATTATATATGCAAATTAAATCTGTAAATGTTTTTATATAATTTGTTCGTATTTATTGGTCCCATAAAAAAAGAACTTGCTTTTGTGTGTCAACCCCAATTCTTAGTTTGTGAACTTTTTGCCTTATTACTGTTGATTTGCCTTACATATATTGTTTGCTTGTTTTATACTATTTTTTTTGCCTTGTTCCTTTCTTTTCTTTTCTCTTGCTTCTTGCAAACTTTATCCATTCCGTTTGTTGGACAGCTTGACCATGGCTACTCACTACAAACTGCAAATGGTTGAAAATTCGTAGAAAACCAATCAATCAATCAATAAATAAAAGCACTTATACTTAAAATCAGAAATTTCTGGGACATATTATGAGGAAAGAGTGCTTGGAAAATTTAACACTCCCAGGAAATATTGAAGGAATGAGAAGAAAACAGTGACCAACCTAACTAATAAGGTTGCACGAATGGATGGAAAACAGGGGACAAAGAAGGAGGGTAAGACGATGAGACCTCGCCGCTAGTCTAGTCTTCTTTTTTGATGTGCCGTGTCCCTTCAGGACGTAGGCGATTATGACTCTCCACTGCCTCCTATCCCTTGTAGTTCTCAATATGTTTTGTCTTTTTGCTATTTCTCCCGGACCCTGTTCTGCCATTCGTTTGTTCAAGCCCACTAGGTATGTCACATGTTGCTTTCCCGTTTTCCCCTCTGTTCGCCTTGTGATTATCAAATTTTCTAAGCCTTCCTTTCTCTTTACGTGTTACGTAAATTTCAACTGACTGCGCTTAAATTCATAAAGTCTAGGTGCGAAGGCAACAAAACAGTGCAAAATGCAAAATTGTGTATTTTCTTTCTTTTTTTTAGTCATTTGTATAAAATCACAAAAAATATAAAATATCGCATTTATGGAGATTTTTAAAAAAAAAAAAAAATTTTTCAGTATTATTAATATTTCTTCTTTTATGTGCCGTGTCCCTTCGGGGCGTAGGTGATCATGGCTTCCCCTTATCCGTTTTTTAGTTCTCAATATGTTTTGTTCTTTTGCTACTTCTCCCAAACCCTGTTCTTTCATTCATTACATATGCAAAATATTATTGCCACTGTTTTTAGTCTAAGTCGAACAAATCCTTGCAACAGTTTGACATCCACGACGTGATTATTTTACAGCATGCACATTTGTTGACTACGACGCGATTTGGACATGCGCTGACTTTTGTTGTTTTCGGGCTTAAACCGAACAAAGTAAACAAAACAATAAACACTGGATTAAATAAAACAATACACTAGTAGAGACATAAAAATGCAAGTGTAAAGAAAAAGATGTGACTTCTGCAATTGTTTTCTTTTTTTTTAGTGTTGAGTTGTTGATATGCTACGTGATAGACACTGCTGGTGTTTACAACAAAAAGCAAACGATTAAAAAAAGTGAATTTGCTAAAAATACGTACTTTTCGCCGAGCAACTATTTCAAACGTTCCAACAATTTAAAATAATTTTAAAATAAATAAAAATGCAATATATAAAAGATTAAAATTAATTAATTAAAAAACATGAAAATAAAATAAAAGAATCACTTACTTGCAAAAATATCATACATCAGAAAATCCATCTTATAAAGAAAATAATTAAAAAAAATTCTCTGCTTGAAAATATAGAGCGAACGAGTCAGAAAAATTACGACTGTCTCGGGGTTTTGTCTTTTTCTGCTTAAGAAGAGAAACAAAAGAGAGTTATATAGGGAAAGAGAGATATATATATAGAGAGAAAGAGAGAGATATAGAGAGAAATAGCTGATTGTTTTTACTACTGATATTTTAAATCTAAGTGGGTTTTTTCTTTGCGTGTGTCTCTGTGTGTATGTGTTTCTGTATGTGTGGATCTATGTACGTCCTTAAAGGCATGGGTGAGTCTACCTGCGTATGGCGACAGTGATTGTTTTCTATATAGCATTACACTCGTGGGACAGAGACAACGAAATGAATAAAAATAGATTAAAAAAACCAAACCAGAAAGATACAGAGGGTGGGAACGTTTCCGAGTCACATGTATGTGACATTGCATACGTGTGTTCTCGTTTCTTTGCGTGTGTGTGTGTGTTTGTTTGTTTGTTTGTGCGAATGCACGCACGCACCTACTCACGCACCGATACACACGCACGCACACTGCAGAGTGGCTTTTTTTACTTTTTCTTTTTTTTTTTTACCCTGTTTTGCTTTTTTAATTTTGGTTTTGTTTTTTCTCTTTTTCTTTTCTTTTTTTTCTGCCTTATTTTAATTTTCTTCTTTTTCCATTTTTTTTCTTTTGCCTTTTTCTTCTCCATTCCCCGTTTTCTTTCTTCTTTTCATTTTTTTTCTTTTTTTTTTGTTTTCGTTTTGCATTTCGCTTGTCCCTTTTTCTTTCACCCTTTTTCTCTTCCGTTCCCTTTTTTTCTTTTTCATCTTTTTTCTTTTCCTTTTCTCTTTTTTTCTTTTTCTTTTCTTTCCTCTTTTTTCTTTTTCATCTTTTTTCTTTTCCTTTTCTCTTTTTTCTTTTTCTTTTCTTTCCTCTTTTTTCTTTTTCATCTTTTTTCTTTTCCTTTTCTCTTTTTTCTTTTTCTTTTCTTTCCTCTTTTTTCTTTTTCATCTTTTTTCTTTTCCTTTTCTCTTTTTTTTCTTTTTCTTTTCTTTCTTTTTTTTTCTTTTTCCTCTTTTTTCTTTTCCTTTTCTCTTTTTTCTTTTTCATCTTCTTTTTCTTTTTCTATTCCTTTTCTCTTTTTTATTTTGTTTTCGTTCCCCTTTTTCCTTTTTTCTCTCTTTTTTTTATTTTACTTTCCTTTATTTTATTTTCGTTCCCTTTTCTTTTTCTCTTTCATCTTCTTTTTCTTTTACTTTTCTCTTTTTTATTTTACTTCCCTGTTTTGCTTTTCGCTACCTTTTTCTTTTTTATTTATGTTTTTAATTTTATTTATCTCTTCCTTCTACTTTTCTCTTTTTCTTTTTATAAAATCTTTTTCTTTTCTTTTAATTTTTATTTGTATTTTTTTATTTTTAACCCGGAAGGAAGCTCGTAAAAAATATGATTTAAAACAAGAGCATCGGCAAACAAAACAGTTTTATACGTTCATTTCACTCCCATGTCACACTCTTTCTCTGTTTAGTGTGAATTCATAAAAAAAACTCAAATGGCAGGAAAGATAAGGACAAAAAAAGGCTTGCCGAAGAAGACTTATAACATATTCTTTTTAGTAAATAATTTTTTTTTTATTAATAATTCATATTTTCCGTAACATTTATGCTAAATACATAAATGTTACAGGAAAATATGAATTGGTAATTTGTCATAAAATGGCGACCGCGAAAGAAATAAAAAAAAAGAAAGAAAGAAAGAAAGAAAGAAAAAAAGAAAGAAAGAGGCAGATGATTTCCATCAAAGAGAGGGAGGTAGGGAGAAAGATAAACAAGGAGGAAAAAGAAAAGGAAGAGAGGAGAGTGAGGAAGAGAGAGAGAGAGAGAGAGAGGGGTGAAACAAAGAAAAATAGATAAAGTGAAGGAGAGGAGCGAGGAAAGATTGGGATGGAGGGAAGGAGAAAGAGAAGGGGAGAAAAAAACAAAAAAAGAAGAGAGAGGAGAGAGAGGGGGAAGAGAGAAAGGATGGAATAAAAGAGAGAGAGGAGAGAGAACAGAAAGAGAAAAAGGGAAAAAGAGAGAGAAATAAGAGAGAGGGCGAAATGGAAAAATGAAAAGAAAGAAAAAAGAGGAGATATATATAGAGAGATAGGAAGAAAGAGAAAGGGGGGAAAGACAAAGAAAGAAAGAAAGAAAGAAGGGAGTGAAGGAGACAGAAGAGAAAACAGTATTATTTTTATTATTTATTATATGGACACGTGGCCGAGTGATTACATTTCGATCATGAGATTCGGGTTCGAATCACGTCATGTTTGATTTTCTTGCTAATATCAGCCTGGGGAGACAATACCATCGGATTTGTTGGGACCTCCCTGAAAACCCTACTACGGGCTGACTCAAGCTTTGTGACTCAATTGAGATATAGGGAACAGTTCGGAGCTAGTTGTGCTAGCCTGAAGTCACAAGTCATCGTGACCGATGGTTTAAGCGCGCTAGCCTTGTTCAGATTAATCACATCAGAAACGGTATCTAAGATACGCTGAGCATAGTTGCAATTTTGACCACAGGTTGGCTCCGTGGGTATTGAAGAAACATAAATGTGCCTGAGCAAACGTTTGCAACAAGGATTAGCTTGCCACCTTATCAGACACGCATATGCAGATACGAGCAATCATCAATACTTACAAATGTTTTTATAGAGGATACACGTATTTGAGATGGGGATCAGTTTTTTCCCCTTCTTCAAACAGTGAAATTACTGCCCACCAGCTAGATACACAGAGTCTTATTATGTATTTTTTGGTAGGTGTCGAAGATGTATTTTCGCCAGATGCTCTTTAACTGTTAGGCTACGGAAGTCTCTACAGCAAAGCAAGCCCCAATTATCCCTTGTTATTAAGCGCATCTTCTTCGCTCTGACTTTCAATGTCTGTATGTACTAAATTATATTTTCGTACAAGAAACGGAAAAGCAGTAATTTAAGCAATTAATAGATTTTAATGCGTCGTTATTTCTCTTGTTATGAAATATGTTTATAGCAGAAGGAGACAACAAAGGAAGATTCGACTGTGCGATAAACATTTCTTGTGTAAAACAAATGCTTTTTTCATCATTAGATCTATCTATCTATCTATCTATCTATCTATCTATCTATCTATCTATCTATCTATCTATCTGAGTGTGTTTCTATCTATCTATGAGTGTCTATCTATCTAAGTTTATATCTCAGTCTTTCATATCTATCTATCTATCTATCTATCTATCTATCTATCTATCTATCTCAGTTTTTCATATCTATCTATCTATGAGTGTCTCTATATATATCTAAGTTTATATGGAAGTTTATATCTATCTATCTATCTATCTATCTATCTATCTATCTATCTAAGTTTATATCTCAGTCTTTCATATCTATCTATCTATGAGTGTCTCTCTCTCTCTCTATCTATCTAAGTTTATATCTATCTATCTATCTCAGTTTTTTCATATCTATCTATCTATGAGTGTCTCTCTATATATATCTAATTAAGTTTATATCTATCTGAGAGTGTTTCTATCTATCTGTCTATCTGAGTGTGTTTCTTTCTTTCTATCCATCTAAGTTTATATCTAAGTCTTTTCATATCTATCTATCTATCTATCTATCTATCTATCAGTGTCTCTCTCTATCTATCTATCTGAGTTTATATCTATCTATCTCACTTTTTTCATATCTATCTATCTAAGTTTATATCTATCTCACTTTTTTCATATCTATCTCTCTCTCTCTATCTATCTATCTATCTATCTATCTATCTATCTATCTAAGCTTATATCAATCTCAATTTTTTCATATCTATCTATCTATCTATCTATCTATCTATCTATCTAAGTTTATATCTATCTCACTTTTTTCATATCTATCTATCTAAGTTTATATCTATCTCACTTTTTTCATATCTATCTATCTATCTATCTATCTAAGTTTATATCTATCTCACTTTTTCATATCTATCTATCTATCTATCTATCTATCTATCTATCTATCTGGGTGTATATGTATACAGCTATTAATCTTTCAAGTTCTTAACTCTCCTATATTTGGAGTATTTGTGTGGTTCGGTTGTCTGTGTGTGCATATATATATATATATATATATATATATATATATATATATATATATATATACGTGGTGGGGGAGAGAGAGAGAGAGGAAACTATCTACCTATATCACCTTACCTTTTCTTTTTCTTGATATTCTATTATTTCGAAATGACTCGGGTTTATAATTAAACGTCTACGGAAGTTAGCAAATAAAAACGAATTCATGAATGTTTACTCAAAACACAATAAGAGAAAATTTGGAATTGTCATAAATTTTTTTTATTTAAGATCCCTTACCATTTGCAGCCCCGAATATCGACATCACGAAGAAAATTTCACTGAAAATATTTTCCAAAACCTCCACTATCTTTGTTATTCATACATAATGCCAGAAGAAAAGCGTACGAAGTCCACAAATTCAAAAAGAAGGAAAAAAATGTATAAACGTCAACATAAAAAATAAACCACATTGTATTACCTACAAAGTGAATGACGAATAAACTTCAAAGAAATTTATCTGATCTCAATATAATTATTATACTAAACACTTCAAAGGCAGTTAAAAATTAATCAATGTAAAACCACGAACTAATTTTTACATCAGAAGTAGGAGTCTAACCAATAGAATGTAAACAATATCTTTTGATGATGTCAAATAAAATCAGATCAAAGAAAGTTCAGATACATTCCACCAAACGTACCAATGGAGGAGTGTATACTGACAGTTCTAACATTTTAACATATAAAAACATTTGATAAATATAATTAGATCGAAATGTTCATATGTATATATTGGGTAGGTGTATATCTTAAAAAGAACACTGGAACAAGTGGAAACTGCATATATTTTACACACACACACACACACACACACACACACACACACACACACACATATATATATATATATATATATAGTTTGAATAAAAACAGACCACTTTAAGGTTCCATGTAATAAGTTATTTCACCACAACCCTTTTAACAGGGCTCTGGATCATCAGACTTTACTTCCTAAGGTTGAAATGAAAAATGAAAAGAAATTCACACGTTTTTGACGGACCGCATCAAGCATATGTAAAATTAACGTAGTGAGGAAGTATGGTGGGAGAGAAGATAAGATATGAGTGGGTTAGATGTACCATTTCAATTCCTTATTCTTAACCCCACTGTGTGTCGGCTAACGCGTATTGTCTCTAGATATAGGTGGGTAAGGGGTGGGGGAGAGGACCGACATTAAAGGAAGAAGCTACAACAACCCTAATAAATTACATTTCTCCTTGGGTCTACCCATGCGGATTACCTAGTTTTGCATAAACTATATATATATATATATATATATATATATATATATATATATATATATATATATTAAAACATCCCTCATTAAATAATTTAGACAAGTTTTGTCAACTTATTTTTAGTATTCATGGACAAGCTTCTTAGTATTCTTAACAAAGGAGGAAACAAAATTGCCATATTGATGCATATTCATATATTCCGAATACTTTAGACATTAGCAAAATGTCATCTTCAGGATTTTGTTTTACCAGGGTCTTGTTTTATCTAAGACAAATTTGTTGAATTTATCTGAAAAAGATATTATTTTTTCTTCAGATAAACACAGTAAATTATTTTTCAGATAAAAACATATTTATCTGAGATAAAATAAGACCCTGATAAAACAAGACCCTGACGATGACATTTTGTTCATGTCGAAAGTTCTTGTCATGCATTTCATCCGTTAGGACTTCATCGGACTGGGATTGTTTACGTTGTTCTAGTCCGATGAAGTCCTAACGGATGTTTCATGTGCGTCACAAAAAAAAAAAAAAAAATTCCCAACGTGTCACACATCATTTCTTTCAAAACTGCTCTTGATATATAAAAAAAATTATCTTTCGTTATCCCATATATATATATATATATATATATATATATATATATGGTGGACTGTCTCGTATTCGACGTATAAGGATCAAGCAGCTCAGTTCCTAGGAACCGACAGCCCAGACACCACCACATATGATTTGATTGTGATGAAGGCTTTGTGCAGAACCAAATACACTTTTTGAAAGGCCAAATACAGAGACATGGTGCATTAGGTGCCACGAGGTCGCCAAACAACCCTCCGCAGGTTTTGAATTCAGAGATGTCCTTTTCCTAGACCAGCTGCCATCCAAGGCTATGCAACCCAGTCTGTCCTGCTATTTACCTATAACTGGGATATATATATATATATATATATATATATATATATATATATATATATATATATAATATTAGTGGAAAATATACATACATATGCAAAATATATAAATACCCATACATGTATATTTTAAGAAAAAAAATTCCAAGAGGAAGAATCCAGGTAGAACTCAATGTCTAGGACAGAGTAAGGATATAATAAAAAGGCTTAAACACTAATATTCCATGGTCATAATTTATTCCATTGGAATCGTAAATACGATCCAATTCATCAGACCTACAAATTCAAAAAGAAAACAGAAAAAAACCAACTCCGGAAATAAGAACAGAATTTAGAGAGAGTGTAAGTATGAGGAGGAGGGAGATCAAGCCTTAACAGAGAGAATTTTAGGAGAGGTGGGTGGAAGGGGTTTAATTAAGAGAAAAAAATGAATGTTGACGGATGTCTAATGCATAAAGATACATTTCGTGGTGACATACACACACCATAGACAATCTAATGTTAGAATAAGAGGGAGGGAAAGACGAGGTGGGGGAGAGAGATGGGACGAAGGAAAGTAAAATTGCGTTTACTTAAAGGGCCGCTTTGTAATTGAGAAAATTTGACAAATTTAATATCGACTACAGGTTACAAATCAAATATAAATATATGAAGATAAATATAACGATTATCTAATCCAGCAAGGACCTATATTTATATGTTCAAAAACACATGTGAATACACACAATAACATATACATGTATATACATACACATAGGCGTGTACCCACATACACACATACATATACCCATGTACACACATATAAAATATAAAAATATTCACATATCCACACATAGACACATATATATATATATATATATATATATATATATATATATATATATATACAAACATCTACATTTGACTTCACATCAGAGCCCCAAAAAATTGATATTTTTCTTTTAGTATATTGTATGTAGCAAATTTAAATATGGAAAAATCACACACAAAAAAATAAATAAATAAAATCAGATCAAAGAATTTCTAAAAATTCCGCAACACATCCCACAGAGGTGTGTATACTGGCAGTTCTAATATTTTGACATACAAAAAATTTTTTGATAAATGGTTGTATTGTAGATACGCATCTATAAATACACTTTAACAGAAGTAAATTTTATTTCTTGTAATTTTTCTGGAACAAATGAAATCTACTACTATTTATAAACTGTTGTGGATTCCGAGATGAAATTCGGTCTCCAATGAATGACAAACGCAGGAATTAAATATAACAAATAAATGTATTTACACAATAATACAATGGGTAATACTGTTAGTAAATCCAGGAACGCGGTTAGTGGCAATAATAATAATAATAATAATAATAATAATAAATATATCGGGCGTGCTTGTAACTGTGACTTCTACAAGTGGTTACCTCACACTATTACTCTACCTCCAACTCAATCACAATCTCTGTCTTCCCTGTATACTGACTGACTCTGGGTATTTAACGGCAGCAGTCCAAGTAACACTCTGGTCGAATCCACTTATATGAAAAAGGGGTGGACCATAACATCCCCCTCCTTAGATCCCTTTTTGTGAGGAGTTAGTATTTTTGTCTCTTGTGGTTGATAATCAGGGGTTCGACAAATATTCTTTTCCTGCTTGACCGTCTCATTTCTGTGTCTTCCAGCGGTCTTTGGATCTCAAACGCTTCGAAGATTGTATCCATAGAGTCGTCGTTTTCTGTGGTTGACGAGCTTGGCTCCTCAGCCCGTCTTCTTTGTAATTGGTCGATATGTCTTCTATGTGAAAACTTCCCACCTTTTATTGTGTACATTAGATTTCCTAATCTATTGATTACTGTGCCAGGCTCCCAGTAAGCCATATTGTTTCTAAACATCCTAAAATAAACCCGTTCTCCAGGTTTAAATGATCTCTTCGGTACAATCAGTGTATACTGGTTTTTGTTCTTGTTTGGCAATAATTTGTCAAACACCGACCTTATTCTCTGAGCAATCATCAATTCCGCTTGTGAAAGACCCAATGGCGTGTTCACGTTAGGTGTTATTCTGTACAGTTGGAGGAACTGTTGTATCGCTTTTATCGTCGGTACATCCTCGGCTTTTTTTTAACGCTCTTTTTAGTGTGTCAACGAATCTTTCAGCTTGTCCCTTCGACACCGGGTGGTACGGAGCTATCTTGATATGTTTTACTTGAAATGTCTCACAAATTTCTTTAAAGTCACTGGAGGTAAACTGTGTGCCGTTATCGCTTACCAAACAATCCGCGACGCCAAATCTCGAATAGTTCGTGTAAACAGTTTATGGTGTATTCTGTCATCGGGTGTTTAAATCTGGCAACCTCTGGTCATTTACTGAAACTATCTACTGTTATTAAATAATAGTAACCTTCAATGGGTCCTGCGTAATCGACTTTAGGCCATGGCCTTTGTATAGAGGGTGGTGCCTTCGCCGCAGCTGCACAACCTTTGCAACTTTCCACCATTTGCGTGATATCATCGTCCATGTTCGGCCAGTAGACAAAACTTCTCATAAGTGATTTAATACGGTTTTTTTCCGGGATCTCCTAAGTGAAAATCTGTCAAGATCCTTCTTCGTAGTGACTTCGGTATTACTACTCTCTCGTTATACAATAATATGTTGTCACAGATTGAGAAACTGTCTGCTAAATTCCTCACTTTCTCTTCTATTTTTTTCTTGGTATCCTGAATAAACTCGTCTCTTTCTGCTTCTCGT